AGGTTATTTAAATGCTGCAAAAGAAGAATGGTTTGGAATAAAAAAAAAAAATACATATCCTAACCTTAATTACTGGGGGAGAATAATGAATGATGCTCATAGTGAGTAAAAAGTAAACTGAGTGCATTTTTTGGACAGAGATTCACTTTTAATGTGTATGTATAATATAATACAGATACATAAAAACAAACTCCCAAAACAGAATAAATTATTACAAATAAATTATTACAAAATATTAAAAAAAGAATATAAAAATGGAGGCAACTTTGCCTGTGGTAGAATGTATACAATGTATGAAAAAATCTTTACTGCAGATACTAATTTTGTGTTGTAAGATTTATGACTTTCATGCTTTCATAGTGGTACTTAGGAGAGCTTGACATTTTCTCAGGTGGTATCACACTGTAAAAAGTTTGAGAAACACTGATAAGTGTATGTGTGCTTTTGGAAAACATTTAAAGCTGCTGTACAGAATCTTTGAAACAAGCTTAAAACATTTTTAGAATATAAACAGAGCACTCTGCTTCTCTTTACAGCTCCTCACTCCACCAGGGCTGTTTGGCACTTTCTGATAGTGTGCAATTGTGATGTACGTACTGCGGCAGTCATCTGGACGGTCCAAAAGTTGGCCTACCTATTACTGGCTGAGGTTTTAGTAGAGTTGTGGCTGAACCACATAAAAATATATCATTAATTTTAATCTCCACAATCAATGATAATTCCATGTGTTCCATGTGACTGGTTCTCAGATAGTTTTTTTTCTGTGCTATACAAGTCTCAATCACCAACATATACAAGCACCAGTGTTTTATATAGTTTATATGGTTTTTGTTTTATATGTATTTTTAAAAACTAATTATTTGACTTACATGCCGCCATGGCTCACGCTGCAATGCATTCTGGGTAGCTTGTTCAAATGGGTTGCACTCAGAACCCTGAATTGAAGAATTCAGAAGAAACTTCTACCATCAGTTTTGCTCAACTTCAAAGCCACAGCAATGATGAGAGATCCACAATGTGCTAATTCATGTCCAGTGCTCTTACATTCAGTCAATTGGCTGCAGCTGCCATCTACACCTTTAAATTACATTCTGGTTTCTACAAGTCTTGCTGAAAAACCAGTGTCCTTTTCTAGCTAAAGCAGGGGTATGAAACGTATGGCCCGCGGGCCGGATCAGGCCTGCAAATAGGTTTCATCTGGCCCCCGAGATGATTTTGTAAAGTATAAAATTGAGATGCAATTTTTCAATAAAAGAAACTGCTGGGTTCTGGCTACCTTTACCCTGGGAGCACAGGAGCAAGCTGGACCTCTGCTGCTCCCACCCGAGGAACTGAAATGGGTGCAGGAGTCAGCAAGGTCACAGTTGCCCTCACCCGGGGAACCAGAACAGGCACAGGCAATGACTGGGCATCCGCCATACCCACCCGAGGAGTTCTCATGTCTGTCAGATTTATTATATGGACGTGGTGACAGTGTAAAGACAGCCTGTACTTGTGATTTTCAGACAAATTTTGGGAGCCGTTTTAACATTGGACTTTGTGGAAGAGTTGGATGGAGGAAGCTGTGCGTTGGTGACATTTATAAAAGAACCATAACATCTACTACAATAATAACAACATTGGATGAAAGAGGGCAATGATGGCTACGTTTTGAGGGTAAAATGATGGCTATAGACCGAATGCTGTGGACACAGCAGCAGTTGAAAGAGAAGATTTTAAGATCATTTTTTCCCCTGCTTCCACTCTAGCAGTTGAACTGTCTCATTCTAACCTCCAACATTCCGTCCCACACACACCCATTATAGACTCTGAAACGGATGAAAAAAGCATGAAACTTAAAATGGAACTGAAATAAAAGTATAGAGGATAATAAAAGATAAATACAAGCTGAATAGTTCAATGTCTTGGCTTAATTTTAAAGTTTGAATGGAGTCTGTCGGTCAACGTATGTGGAAGTACGTAGTTGGAGTTGAAAGAGGAGTAAGTCGAATGAGAATCTGAAGATTCTTCCATTGAAATACACTATAGATTTTTGCTGAATAAAGTTGAATAATTTAAAAAATATATGAAAGTTAAAAATGAGAAAAATACAAGCACACATGTCCAAAAGAAGATGAATCTAATGGTGGTTGAATGGGTTTTCTAAGTTGAAAAGTGTTGAAGGAGATACAAAAATGTAAGGAAGATGAAAAGTAAATATCACCCCGAATACCTGTTTCCCCCGGCATTATACAAGAGGTCCATGCGACAATATTTAAAACTGCCTTTGTTTTGTTTTTTTAGATTTACAAACACAGGAACACGTGAGATCAAACGCCAAACACATGTACATTCTGTTCCCTGCCATTGTGAAACAACAGCAGAAACTCTCCGATCTGCTCAATATTAGATGGTAGTAAAGCGAGATCAACTGTCGCAAGCCCTATCTCAAAACAGCTTGCATTGTCGTGCAGCAGCCCCTGAACCTCCGCATGTGAAACCCCATCGGCCTCTTCGTACGGCACCCTAGCTGAAGACGGTATGTTCTTCAGAGTGATCCGGCAAAATAATAGAAAAATATACTTGTTTACCGGTTTCTAATGTAAGTGTTGTCTTTTGTGTGTTTCAGAAACATGCCAGCTAAAGGCCCTCTGCAGTCTGTCCAGGTGTTTGGACGTAAAGTGAGTAAAAATGTGCAATTTAATCCACGTGTGGGGTTGCGGCTAACTTGTCTTGCTAGTCGTAGCCGTAATGGCTGATATTAAAAGGTGGTGGGCCTCTGATTTTACACTGTAATTCCGCAGTAAATAAGCCAGTTTATATGGTATTTATAACATTAAGTAGTAATAATACTTTCATTGAAGCTTGTAATTACTGTTA